TATCCAAACTAATTAATTCTGAAGGGCCAAACTGATAGTTAGAAACTATTCAATGGAGCTGTTGGGTTTCTTGATGAATGCATGCATCCCCGTCATTTGTCCGAGGAAAAATTCACAGGATCATTAATTTCTCCATATGTGTCATTTGCAATTAATGTGGTCTAACTACCCTATCACTGTGAAGGAGCAGCTTTCAAATAATTAAAACCCCACTCAACACAAGCATTTAGAATGTGATATATGAGGGAGTGGATACCCTTGACCAATAGTAACCCTTTATTGCTGTAGGGAGAAGTCTTGTGTTATCATCAGAGATGTGTATGCATGTGCTTTGTGCTACTGGCCCAAAGGTGCTTTTTCCAGGAGGCAACTGGACTTTCTTGTTTTTCTTTGAAGACGTTTCACTTCTTATCCCAGAAGCTTCTTCAGCTCTGACTAGATGATGGAGAATGGAAGGATTTATATTCCTTGTGGACAGCTGGTCATTTGCCTTATTTTAGAGAGTCGTTGAGGCCACTTGGAGGCTTATCTGTGTCCTCAAGGGTCACCTGAGTGGTGTAAATGGGTGTGGAGCCTTTTTGGAGCTGCTGAAATGACTTGTGTTGTAGATTGGAGGTAGATGATGTCGTATCCCTCCCCCTCTGTTGAGAGAAGGCTGATCAAGTTTGACCTAGATGGCCTCTTTGACCCCTCTTTTGAACCAGAAAGCTTTGTGCTAATCTTTATCTACATGGCAATTGATTATTCAAGGATGTATAAAGGTACAGTACTGAAGTATTCAATCAGAGATGTCCACAGGGAGGGGATCATAAATTCAACATAGTAGCCACAAGTACATGAATCAGGACATAAAAATGTAAGAAGCTTAGAAGTAGCAGCTGATTTTCCAAAAATGTTTCCAGCCAAAAATGTTCCTCAGAACAAACAAAAAAACGTTTATAGTATCTCTCTCTCTCTCTCTCTCTCTCTCTCTGTGCGCACGTGCCATTCATTCATTCATTCATTCATTCTTTTATGGGTTTTTTGGAACCATCAGCTGGTTTCTTGTAGTTTCAGTAAAGCAGTCTGACTTTTTTTCAAGATTCAGAATAACAGAGTTGAAAGGGACCTTGGAGGTCATCTAGTCCAACCCCCTGCTCAGGCAGGAGACCCTATACCAATTCAGACAAATGGCTGTCCAGTCTCTTCTTAAAAACTTCAAGTGTTGGAGCATTCATAACTTCTGGAGGCAGGTTGTTCCACTGGTTAATTGTTCTCACTGTCAGGAAGTTTCTCCTTAGTTCCAGGTTGCTTCTCTCCTTGATTTAATTTCCATCTGTTGCTTCTCGTCCTTCCCTCAGGCGCTTTGGAGAACAGGTTGACCTCCCTCTTCTTTCTACACAAGCCACAATAAAAATCTCTCATTGTTTAATGAATCCTTTCATCAACATTCCTAGGACTATTAACACGCGGCATCTATTTTCAAGGTTGTATGGAAAGTTTAAAAAAAAGAGTCTCCCATTTGTTTATCTTCTCTTTGCACTTGTCCTAGCGTTAAACATTTCTGTTTAAAAAAAAACACCAACCCTTTATTTTCCCACCTTTTTCAAGGCAAATCTAGGTAAGGCCAGAGAATGTGGTGCTTCAAAAAACCCAGCATTTTTCTCGTGCATTCTGTCCCCTTTTTTTGTTCAAATTACATTTTAATGTGCTGTACAGTAGTGACATATCTCTCTTTTTGCTTCCATTATCCAGTGATTGAGAGCTATTTTTATTCTGCGTTTATCCAGAGATGCCATCCGGAGCAAACGTTTCTCTGAAGTGTAAAGATTCTGCGTAGGGTTTTTGGAGAATCTCTTTTCCTCTTTGGGTTGGGGACAGCCGTCAAACCGGCTCGACTAATCTAATCTAATTACCTCGTTACTTCTTTCTTCGTTAGGGCTGGTGAAAGTTTGCGCCGCACAAACAACGCCACATGTCACAGCTAGCGCTGCGGCTGTGTGTGACACCGAATCCCGTCGGACTTTTCCCTTTATTTAGTGGGGGGGTGGATTTTGTTTCAGAGGTTGATTTGTTGAGATTTCCCTGCTCCGCTGAGTAACACAACCAATAATAGTGACAGCTCTGGTTTGGTCTAACGATCATATGGCAAAACCTTGTACCTCCCTCTCTCGGGGGACTTTGTATAATAACCATGACATTGTCTGGAATTGCAGTATTGGCATTTAAGCGATCAATAAACCAGCCGGTTCCACTGAGTAAATTGTTAAGAATGTGATTCAAAATGGTTCAAATTGATATGCGTGCCACAGTGTTCATTAGCCCACCAGGGACACGTTTTCCATACGTTGTTAAATAACTGAGGGCGACAGATGTCAGCTAGAATATTTTAAGTATATTTTAAACAGATACGACGCTTAATGACCTTAATGTTCCACTTCACGAAGTTTGCATGGTTAAAAAAAAAAAGTGACATTAGAAGAACCCTTTCTGTCTGGTTATGATTGAAGATCCGTTTACTAGATTTGCCACTGTGTGGGTGCTTGTGTGTGGAAATATATAAATATGTATACATACATATACATACACATACACATACACATACAAATATACATATATACATATATACATATATACATATATACATATATACATATATACATATATACATATATACATATATACATATATACATATATACATATATACATATATATATATATATATATACACACACATGCACACATATATATAGAAAGAGGGAAGGAAGGAAGGAAGGAAGGAAGGAAGGAAGGAAGGAAGGAAGGAAGGAAGGAAGGAAGTGGTGAATGCCCCAACACTGGAAGTTTTTAAGAAGAGACTGGACAGCCATTTGTCTGAAATGGTATAGGGTTTTCTGCCTGAGCAGGGGGTTGGACCAGATGACCTCCAAGGTCCCTTCCAAGTTTATTATTATTAGGAAGGAAGGAAGGAAGGAAGGAAGGAAGGAAGGAAGGAAGGAAGGAAGGAAGGAAGGAAGGGGGAGGGAGGGAGGGAGGGGNAGGAAGGAAGGACTTCATAGCAAAATATGCAAACTGCACTTGGAATAGTCCCATTTTTAAGCATTTCTATAAGCAACTTGCCTCCTTAAGGCGATTTTGTAGCACCAGGTCTGCAAATCGCAAATGATAGCTGTTGAACCCTATCAACTTCACCTCTCTTAAACAGATCAGGTGTGGCTCTCAGCCTTAATTGCATTCATTTAATCTCCTAGGAGGAACTTGGTGACTCAGGAGGTTAGCAAGCCCACGTTTGAGACCCAGAGCTGCTGTAGGGCCGGGTCAAGTTCTTGTCCTTCACTCCATCTCCTGCTGGGGTCATGAAAGGAAGCCCCAAATGGGCATCCCCCCTGGGCAGTGGTGATGTCTCTGACTTATCCTTTCAACCCAGAAACGTTTCAATGCTTCTGATATGAGTGCCCCCCCAAAAAAAACCCAACCTCATTGTTTGTTCCAATCAGTAGTATTCCCAAAAGAAATTTGACTTTAACAGATGTAAGGGGACTCAGATTTGCAAGATTGTGTTAGTTCAGCCATGTAACATTAACACTGATGTTTTTAACTTCATAACCCTTGAAGGGGTTTCAACACACATTGACCTGAAAATAATTCCACCAGAGTTATAATATTACAAGTTGACTTAAATATTTCCTTTTTATCAGTAGATGTTTCTCATAAATGATACCCCTATCCAGTCGATCAATCAGAATAGAGCTGGAGGGGACTTTGGAGGGCTTCTAGCCCAGCCCCCTGCTCAAACAGGAGACCCTATACCATTTCTGAGAAGTGGCTGTCCAGCTTCTTCTTAAAAACCTCCAGGGATGGAGCACCCACAACGTCTGAAGGAAACTTCTGTTCCACTGGTTAATCGTCCTCTCTCTGTTAGGAAGTTTCTCCTTAATTCCAGCTTGCTTCTCTCCTTGATTAGTTTCCATCCATGGTTTCTTGTCTTGCACTCTGATGCTTTGGAGAATGAGTTGACCCCCCTCTTCTTTGTGGCAGCCCCCCAAATACTAGAATACTGCTATCATGTCGCCCCTAGTCCTTCTTTTCTCTAGATTGGCCAAACCCAAATTCGGCAACCATTTTTCATATGATTTTGTCTCCAGGCCTTTAATCATCTTAGTTGCTCTTTTCTGCACTTTTTCCAAAGTCTCAACATCTTTTTTGTAATGTGGTGAGCAAAACTGGATGCAGTATTCCAGATGTGGCCTTAGCAAGGCTTTATAAAGCGGTACGTGATCTTGACTTTGTCCCTCTGTTTATGCAACCGAGGACTAGCTAAACCCAAATTCTGCAACTGTTCTTCATGTGTCTCCAGGCCTTTAATCGTCTTAGTTGCCCAAATATCCCCTAATCATCAAGTTCAGCTTACAGTGTCATTCAGAGGTGTCCACAGGAGATGGTCCAAAAAGTCAATATGGTGGTTTTAATGGTGTGATCAAAGGTCCACCCATTATTTATGTTCTGGCACCGCAACGCCATGCATTCTTACCCCATTCCTGGGTAGTCTGTTAGAATATGTGAATGTGATAAGAGTCTATACATTTTGAAGACCTGGCTCATATCTTCTATATCAGAGGTCTCCAGACTTGGTGACTTTAAGACTTCTGGACTTCAATTCTCAGAATTCCCCAGCCAGCTGACTGTGGATTTCTGGGAGCTGAAGTTCATGAGTTCTAAAGTTGCCAGGTCTGGAGACTCCTATTCTGGACCAGGGGTAGGCCACTTTGGCTCTTTTATGACTCGTGGACTTCAACTCCCAGAATTCCTGAGTCAGCATGGCTGGTTCAGCAATTCTGGGTATTGAAGTCCACGAGTCATAAAAGAGCCAAGGTGGCCTACTCCTGTTCGTCAAAATTTCCTGGTGTTCTTCTGCTCCTGTATGCACCACTGTGCTTGATTCAGATCATGACTCTTTGCTGGCATTTAAAACTCTTAACTCCTTTCCCGGTTTTCTTTTGTGTTTTTTTTTTTTTTCAGACCCGAAGTGAAGCTGCTATGACAGTCCTCAGTGGGCACGTGGTGGTTTGTATATTTGGCGATGTGACATCAGCGCTGATAGGACTAAGAAATTTTGTGATGCCACTCCGAGCAAGCAATTTCCACTACCACGAGCTCAAACACATCGTGTTTGTGGGCTCCCTGGAATATTTAAGGAGAGAATGGGACACCATGCATAACTTTCCCAAGGTCTCAATTTTACCAGTAAGTCCAAGTACCGGATCCTTCCTTCCTTCCTTCCTTCCTTCCTTCCTTCCTTCCTTCCTTCCTTCCTTCCTTCCTTCCTTCCTTCCTTTCCAAGACACTATCTTCCTTACTCCCTCCCTCCCTCCCTCTCACTGCTTCCTTCCTGTCTCCCTTCCTTCCTAACTCACTGTCTATCTCCTTCCTTCTTTCTTTCTTTCCTTCCTTCCTCCCTTCCTCCTTCTCACTGCTTTCTTCCTTCCTAACACTATTGGTTCCTCCCTCCATCCCTCCCTCTCCTTCCTTCCTTCCTTCCATCTCCCTTCCTTTCCAAGACTGTCTTCCTTCCTTCCTTCCTTCCTTCCTCCCTCCCTCCCTCCCTCCCTCTCACTGCTTCCTTCCTGTCTCCCTTCCTTCCTAACTCATTGTCTATCTCCTTCCTTCCTTCCTTCCTTCTTTCCTTTCCTTTCCTTTCCTTTCCTTTCTCCCTCCCTCCCTCCCTCCCTTTCACTGCTTCCTTCCTCCCTATCTGACTGCTTTCTTCCAGTCCCAGTTCTTTCCCAACTCACTACGTCTCCTTCCTTCCTTCCTTCCTTCCTTCCTTCCTCCCTCTCTCCCTACTTCCCTCCCTCTCATTGCTTCCTTCCTATCTCCCTCCCTCTCTCTCCCCCTCCCTCCCTTCCTTTCCTTCCTTTGATCTGGGGTTTCATTGTTTTGTTCTTGACTAGTGATAAGCCTGAGGACCTGGCCTTTCCCTGTTTGTTGTAGCTATGAAAACCAAGTCCTGGGAGACCTTATTAGAGGAAATTTGCCGATGCACTCAGTTCCTTGTCAAAGGTGGATTTCAGCTGCTATCAAATAGGTTAGCAATGTTGCTCACTGAACACTTGCATACATACAGCCAGTTTTGATGTTATGGTTTTTCTTGACAGCATGACACTTATTAGTTACGGTATTATTTATGCCCACGAAGCCTTTGAAAACCTTTTGCATTCTTTCTCTTATCTACCTGATCTCTCTGCATTTGTCCACATTGGTGAAAAGCTATTCTGTTGGCTTTCTTCTACCTCATCCCCCCCATCTCACCTCTTTCTTAAGGGAATACAAAATAAAAAGCAGATGGATTTCTTTATCACCGGATGAGAACAGAATCAAAGGGGCCCCCCCAATTCCTCACTGTTTATGCCTCGGTGCCAACGATAATGCAAATTTCATCATAGGTTGCCGTTTACATAAGGACAGGAAGAAAATCACCACTAGATCCCCAGTAAATGTTTTCTTTGAATACTAGGTTTGTTTTTTTTTCTTCCTGGTAAAATGGCAGCTTACAGAAATAAGCAAAACAGAGATTAAAAGAAAACAAGTAGCATCACAACTGAAATCCATCATTAAATGTTTGGCTGGTCTGTTTCATATTAGTCTTTGAAGCTGAAGCAATCGTCTTCTTTAGCCCACTTGTCGTAAAACTGAGGAACACAAAACAGGAGATGCCCATCACAAATTAGCAGTGCATCCCTCACTCTCCCTCTGTCACCTCAATAGGCCTGGACTGTGTTCCTCGTAATTCTCATCCGTGCCAAATTTGGACACCAGACTAGGGCCTGGAGGAAGTCATCCTGTTTGTAATGTTTAAATTTGGGGTATTATAAACATTTTCCAACGCATATAAACACCAAGAAGGGTGTCATAATGTTTTGATAGATAGTCCAGTTAGTAATTTCGCTGCCAGAAAAGAGCGTACATTGACACCTATTAAGTTAGTGTCCTTTTTTCTCCTAAACAAAATCTAACTTGGTCTAAGCAAATGTCGTGGGTGGAATAGTTTAGAAAAAGATAAAACTTGCTACAGGTACTGTTTTGGGGGATCTCTCGATGGA